CCATTCCCATGAGCTGGACCTTCCAAGAGCACAACTCTGCACTTACCTGGGGTGTCTCTTCCCTGAGCCAAAGCAGAGCTCAGCATCACCAGGGATACCATCCGAGCTGCCATCCAGGTGGCTCCAATGACCTGTAGGACCATTGTCCCAGAACCTGGGAAAAGACAAGAAGGCAGAGAGAATTGTACTCAGAGCAGCTCTCAATCAATGGAACCACTCCTAACATACCAGAGAATATGAGCCAGGACTGTCTCCTACATCCCCTGGGTGTGGCCAGTCCTTGAAAAAAGAACCAGTAGCAGGGTTTTTTGCTCACAAGATCAAAGTTGGGTGTACAGCATATGACACTTCAAGGTGTACGAGTCACAAGACACTATGAGGAATGGGATCCTCATTCTGAGCTGCTGGGTGAGTCAGGAGACTGGGGTATTTTTCATGTTTTCCTTGCTCTGGAACAGATTACAAGGAGTCTCTTGCCCTCTCCAAGGTGATCACCATCCTCCTTGCATGGGCGTGGTCTGGAACAGAGTGAGTCCTAACGAATGCTTTAAAGATCTCGGCGGGGAGTGTGTGTGTAGGGGGAGTTACATCCCCCAGAGTAGAACTCTCAGTTATTTCTGAGCTGTGCAAGTAGTCATGCAAAATGTCACTCCTCCCCGAGGTCCTGTTAGACCCTCAAGTGTAAATGATGCTGAATAAGGGCCCCTGGGATTTAATACCAGATATGCCATGGAAGTGGACAACCTAGGCAAACTCCTTGTTCTTTCTGAGCCATAGTTTCTTCACTTGCTGTAGGGATGTTAGCACTTCTCAGCAACTCTGTGAGGATGAAATGAGAGTGCACATGTAGGAACCTGAGAGATTTTGAGTAGGCCGATAAAGTTATCAAAGACCATTCTTTTTATACAATTCAATATTCTTTGGGGAGAGGTAATTTTCAAACTCGAAATAATCCTCAACAAACAAACTCGCAGATAGTTCTTGAAATGAGGTACATATATACCTGCCTGAACAAAGCCTAGGAGGGAAAATGATAAATCAAATGTCACTTCCAACCAGTTTATTAAGTACTTGAATCAAATACTGATAACTTGAATAAAAAGCATACGAAATGATTTAACTTAGGTTTTCTGTGAGGAACAAGGAAGTGATATAGGAAAGCAGTCAGAATAGAGGTTTAGAGTATCATTTCCTGTCTGTGAAGCCCCTTTTTTGCTACTTCCTGGCTTCTAACCATGGGCAGTTATTTAACGTGTTGTATCTCATTTCCGGTCCTGTAGCGTGAAAGTTATTGTGCTGTGTGTGTCATACATTTATTAGGAACACTAACTGAGATAATATCTAGCATTTGTAAATCTCTGAAAGCAGAGCCTTGCTCATAAACTATCAAGACATGGTAGTTATTGTAATGCAAGGCTAGCTCAGAACATGAAAAAATCCTCTTTGCCCAAAACAATGTACTAGCTAATCCAATAATATAAATTCTATAATTTTTAAAAAAGGGATTTTTGCTATAGGACATGTGTGCTCACTGGAGAGACAGAGAGAGACATAGAGAAAGCGAGATATCACCCACCAGGAGTGATGATCATGCCCCAATCCCTTCTCCTCCATTCTCCTCTTGGGATTTTGGGCACACATGCACATATGCCCAGTGTGAGTTTTAAGCAGCCAGGTCTGGGACTCGAACTGTGGTCGATTATGTGAGAGTCCAGCAACATAACCATTACACCATCTACTGTTCCAATTCTATACATTTAACAATAAATACCAGTGAAACATTTACACCTCTTAATAATAAAATAAAATAAGAAGGATTTACCATTGTACTTAATATGAAATGATTAGAGAAATTGTGCTTTTTTTGTTTTTAATTGCTAGAGGGCATCTATGTTCATCAGAGAGAAACAGAGAGAGACAGAGAAAGAGAGAAAAAGAGAGGGAGAAAGCATTCTCCAATGAGGCATGGTCATGCTGAAATTCCTTTTCCATTTCTCCATCTTGCCAAAATTTTGGGCAGGCATACATGTGCCCACTGTATTTTGCAAGCTGCTGGGGATGGGATTTGAATTGAACTTGGCCATAAGGGATCAGGCTCCCTTAACCACTCTGCAGTGGGGCTAGCCCTGGAGAAACTGTTCTTAAACAAGATTTAAATTCTATCACCACATTCTTGCACAAAATAGATATTTAAGAAGAGAATAATTAGAACTTAAATAATTGAAGATTATTTCTTTGGTTTCTATGTCTGGAAGCATCAAAGATGTCCTCCCAAATTTTTAAAGGTATGAGGACCAGCAGTTGGTGTAATGGCTATGTTGCTAGACTCCCATATAGTCGACTGCAGTTTGGGTCCCGGACCTGGTGGCTTAAACTCACGCCAGGTGCGTGTGTGTGCATGCCCAAGATCCTGAGAGAAGAATGGAGAAAGGATTGTGGAGTGACCATCACTCCTGGGAGGTGATCTCTTGTTTTCTGTCTCTCTCTGTCTTTCTGGTGAAGCGCACGCACCCTATAGCAAAAATCTCTCCAAAAAAAAAATGACAAAGGTATGAAAAAGTAAATATAGTATCATTGGTAACAATCGAGTGAATGCCCATATGATACAATTAACATGAAATTATGCAGAAATATTGAATACAAAAGGAACTACAAATAAAAAATACTTGAGTCAGCTTCCACAATGTATTTTCTTTAAGAGAAATGTTTGCTATAGAGTATGTTCACCAGAGAGACAGAGACAGAGAGACAGAAAAGAAGAAATCCCCCCCCAAGCGGGATGGTCACTCCACAATCCCTTCTCTTCCATTCTCTTCCTGGGATTTTGGGCACACATGCACGCGGGCCTAGCATGTATTTTAAGTCACCAGGTCTGGGACTCAAACTGCAGTCAACTACATGGGAGTCCAGCAACGTACCCATCTGCTGGGCCCACCATGATGTATTTTCAAACAACCCCATTAAGGAGGAGGTGATTATGGGTGACCAGCAGTCACCCATAGCTTTATCCCAAGCTCCCAGTAGGCTGGGTGAGTCAGGGCCATGTCAGTCCCTGACACCTCCTTTTCTTCTTCTTCTTCTTTTTTTTTCTTTTTCTTTCTTTTGGAGAGGTTTTTTGCTATAGGGCATGGGCACTCACCAGAAAGACAGAGAGAGACAGAGAGATAGAAAGCAAGAAATCACTCCCCAGGGGGCATAGCCATGCCGCAATCCCTTCTCCATTCTCCTCTTGGGATCTTGGACACACACGCACACGCCCAACATGAGTTTAAGCCGCCGGGTCTGGGACTTGAACCATGGTCGACTACATGGGAGTCCAGCAACATAGCCATTACGCCAACTGCTGGTCCCCCACCTCCTCTTCTAACATTCCTAGTATTCCTTTCCACAGCCACAGAGGTGTCCCTTCTGCTGCTCACTGGTTGACTGGGCCACGTCAAGCTGATTCATCACCACCCCTTCTCCCTTGACGGGGTAGGAAATGAGTCCTGGACTCAGAGCCCCTCCCTGCTTGCCTCCTTTTCTCCTCACTAGGGTCACTGCAGACTCACCCTGAAGACTTTCCAAGTCAGACCAGAGCCATGATCCTGCAAGCCATCGCCCTGGCAGCCCTGCTGAGCCCTCATGGTACTGGGGCCATCAGGGGTGAGTTCAGGAGGGAGCGAGGGCGGGGGCTGTGGAAGAGCCTGGAACCCACAGGTGCTGCTTCCCTTCCTGTTTCCCTCTCTCTTCATTCTCTTGTGTGAGGGTCTTTCTTGCTCTTGCGTCCTCTCATTTTAGCAATAATAACTACTGCTTACCGAATACCTACTAAGTACCAGACTCCACGTCCTGGCTCCCAGCACTGTTTTCCGGAAGGCGTGTATTAACCCTATTTTAGAAAGGAGGAGACTGAGACTCAGAGAGATTCATCAATGTCTCACTCTCTGTTTGCCAAGGTTCTGGAGACTGAAGGGTCAGGGCTTTGCATGTTCCTCTGGAGAGGCTCCCTCTCTCTGTCTCTCACATCTTAGAGGTAACCTTCTTAAAGTAGGAGCCTGCAGTGTCTGTCTTTGACTTTCTCCTATTTCATTCAGTCCTCAGCCCCCTGCATTCTCCCCGTTGCCTCTTCACATCTGTGCTGCTGCTCTTGGTGTAGCGATTACAACCCAAACCATCACTTCTCTGTCTACGTCTTAGGTGTGTCGTTAGTAATATCTGAGATGCGACCACTTCCTCCTTCTTAAATTAAACTCTTGTCCATTGTCTTTTATGGGCACACTTCCTCCTTGTTTTCAGTCTAATATTTATTTATCGATCTATTTATTTAAATTTTGCAGAGGATGTTTGTGCTCTCCAGAGAGAGACACAGAGAGGGGCAATGGCATGAGAAAGCACCCCCATGGGGCATGGTCATGTTGCAGCCCCTCTCCATTTCTCTCCCTTTCAGGTTTTGGGCACACATATACATAATCCAGCTTGTTTCTTTTCTTTTATTCCCTCCCTTTTTCTTATTTTAAGTTCTTTTTGCCATGGGGTACATGCACTGGCTGGAGAAAGAAAGAGAGAGACAGAGAGAAGGAAAGTGAGAAATCACTCCCAGGGGAGATGGCCACACCACAATCCCTTCTCTTTCATTTTCCTCTGGGATTTTGAGCACACACGCACATGTGCCTGGTGTGATTTTCAAGCCACTGAATCTGGGACTTGAACCATGGTCAGCCATGTGGGAATCCAATGCTTAACCACCATGCCACCTGCTGGCTCCAACCCAACTTGTTGCTTAAGCTGTAAAGCTGAGACTCGAACTGTGAGGTTGACCACATGGGACCAGTTGCCTTAACCACCAGGCTACAGTCTAACTCCTTATTTATTTTTTTAAAAAGTTTGTTTTTAAAATTTTTTTCATGAAAGAGACTGTGGTGTGTGCAAGGTGCATGAGCATACACACACACACACACTCTCTCTCCCTCTCTCTCTCACACACATACACACACACGCACAGAGGGAGAGAGAGAGAGAGGGAGAAAGAAAGGGAGGGAAAGAAGCATCCTCAACAGGTTCTTGTGACTCTGGGATCCCCTCTCAGCCCTCTAGTCAGTCAAGATCCGGGGAGCACGTCTGGCATGTTTCAGGCTGACTGGGGACCCCAGCCCAAGGTCAGCCATGAACCCCAGCACTGCAGTTTATTGTGCTACGGTCTGCACCATGGCAGCCGGGCCCCAGCTTCTTCTTAAATGTCCACCTTTGCCAGGATGCAGGACCACACACTCAGACCCTTCCTCTTCTAACTTGACCTACCATGGACCTCCTCCTGGTCTGTGTCCTAACCCAGTGTAGCCCCCGTTCCATCCACTTACTTCAGCTGCCCTCATATCAGCTCCACTCTGTCCCCCAAGAAGTCAAATCCAGCCCATCCAAACACTGACTTTCTCTCCACCTCGTCTTCATCCTTCATGAGCTTTTCAGCCACTGATCCCAGCGCTCTCCATGTTGCCTGGCTATCCTGGATTCAGTCTTACTTCCACCCCATGGTCTACGGATTCCTGTGGACCTGCACATTTTAAAGTCATCTATTCTCCTCCCTCTGTGTCACTGCCCCACCTACACCACCCTCACTGCTGCCGGATTGCTAGAGCCCTATGGGTACTGCTTTCAAACCAGCCATCCTCCTACCATTGCCCCCTGCAAAGACAAACTTCATCATGTCGCTCCCCTGCTTAAGGTCCTATAATGGGTTGGCCTCATGACCTGGTAGTTAAGGGAGCCAGATCCCGTGTGGTTGACTATGCAGTTTGAATACTGGCCCTGAAGACCTGAAAACCACACCAGGTACGTGTGTGTGCATGCACGTGTACCCAGCATCCTGACAGAATGAGAAATGGAGGAGAGGGGATTTCAGAGTGACCACAGGCCAGGGGGTGCTTTCTTCCTCTCCCTCTCTCTTTCTGTCAAGTGCACACACCTTCTAGAAAAAAAAATCCTTCCACAATTTCCCATGCCCTGTGGGGTAAAATGGAAGCACCTGCAATTAGCAAGTAGGTTACAACACAGCCCTGCCCACCCCCTTGGCTCCGTCAGACCGAAGACCTTGCAGCTCTCCATGCAGTTTCACGCCCCTGCTCCCGAGCCTACTGCTACAAACACCATTTCCCCCTTTCTCTGCTTTGCTCACCTCCCGGGAACACCATCCCGAGGATGCCGACTCTAAATCTCATTTCGACTTTGATTTCCATTTTCTGTTCCCAGGTAGCATCTCGTGTGTACCTGTGTACTCAGCAGTGATCAGGGCTCACACAGCAGCAGTCTTCACTTTGTCTCTCTCATTGTCTGGATGCCAAGCAACTTGAGGACAAGGACCATATGTTCTGAACTATATCCTTAGTGCCTAGAGAATGAAAGCTCTTTCGCTGGGGTCGGCAGATGGCATGGTAGTTAAGGCGGTTGGACTCCCACACAGTTGACTACAGTTCGAGTCCTGGACCTGGCAGCTTGCTTTCTCTCTTTCCTTCTCTTTCTCTGTCTCTCTCTGGTCAACTTTAAAAAAAAAATAATGACAATTAATAAAATTAAATTAAATAATTCTTTAAAAAAAAGCAAGTTCTTTCTCTCTCTCTCTCTCTCTCTCTCGTGTGTGTATGGAACCCCTCCCTTTGCTAAATATATATATATATAAATAATATAGTTTGCTATAGGGAGTGTGCACTTGCTGGAGACAGAGTGGAGAAAGGGAAAGTGAGAAAGCACCTCTCATGGGCCATGAACACACCTCAACCCCTTCTCCTCAGTTCTCTTCTTGGGATTTGGGGCACTTACTCACACATGCCTGGTGTCTTTTCTAGCCACCTGATTTGGGACTCAAACGGCACAGTCAGCCATGTGAGATTCAGCTGCCCTAACCTCCATGCCATCTGCTGGCCCACGATACATGTTATTTTTCTTTTCCTGAATGAAAATGAACATTTGAAAGAGTCTAATTTGGTTCGGGATGCATAAATCTTTATTTTTCAGACTGCTAATATGATGCGAAAAAAAAAAAAAAACCGAAAGGAACAAAACCGTATCTATGTAGCCCGACCTCTAATTCATGTTTTCCCCTCCCCTCTTGTTTTGGCTTCTTTCCTGTAGATGAGTAATTCTCTAGCCACTAACCCCAGAGAGGGACCCTTAGCATTCATGACGCTGAACTTGCTGTCACTAGGGATATCCAGGATTTGTTGTGTGTGTGTGTGTGTTGGGGCTGGAGTGGGGGGGATCTTCGGTTAGAGACCAGTTAACCTGCGTGTGTTTCACTTCAGTCCCTCTACCATTCTCAACACCTAGCTCTCTCATTTCTATTGTTCTATTGTAATGATAGTAGATTTTTTGTTATCAACCCTTTACTGTTTTTTTTTTTTTTTACATAGCGATTAAAACCAAGACACAATTCCACAGGTGTTCAGATGCAACAACTTTTATTTCCAATTAAAACTACATTTAGAAATGTAAATTCAACAAAAAAAATCTTTTTAAAAATATGATAATGATTTTTATCTTTTATTCTGTTAATATGATGTATTACATTTATTGTTTTGCATTTTTAAATTATCATCATAATCTTGTTTATATTACATTGAATCGCATATAACTTTACAGTGTATTACATTTCTTTTTCCAGGAGGAATACCATGCATATCAGTCAATACAGAGACATTAAGACCCCCATTTCATCATCCAATATCTTTTCATTGTTTTTCCCGGTCATTATTAGTAGTATTCCAATTATTTTTTTAAACAGTCAATCATTATTTCTCATTTTATTTGTAACAAGACTTTACCCAACAAGAAATACTTCTCAGACCAATCCAGTTGAGAATATCATACACGTCATCATCAACAGGCAATAAACCATATCTGTGTCCTACTAATGTCCTGCTTCTCTGTTCTCTTGCTAAACAAGAAAATCTTGAGTGAGTGTTATGTGAATGATACCACTTTCAAATTTACTATGCCTACTGTATGGTTTACCCTGATTTAACCACTGCACATTATATTTATGTACTGAAAAATCACATTGCGGCCCCACAAATAAGAACAAGTTTTACATTTTTTAAAGGACATGTGCTCACTAGAGAGAGACAAAGAGAGAAGGAAAGTGAAAAATCACCTCCCACCACGACCTGCACTTCCATACCATGACTGAGTATGTCTGTGACTGCAAGGAGGAGCTCTGAGCCTGGACTGCCTGCTCCTTGAGCACTGGGGTATGGAGCCCCTCCCTTTACTCTCACCCCTCATGGGGGAAGGCCAGGCTACAATCCCTTCTCCTCTTGGAGAGGAGCATGCACGCATATGTGCTGGTGTTTTTCTTTGTCTTCATTTTTTTTTTTTTTTGTGATGTACATTGTGTTTTTCAAGCTTCTGGGTCTGGGACCTGAACTGCAGAGTCGGCCATGTGGCTATGCCTTAATCACCATATCACCTGCTGGCAAAAGAAAATTTACTATGTCTAAAATGAAATGTATGTAACCTATTATTGTGTTTATCTTTTTTTTCCCCTATTGTATAGGCCTTCATTTTAAGGACACATTTTACTTATAAATTGTTTTCTGAGATTTTAATAAAAATAACTTAAAGAAATACACCACAGAGAAATGTTACAAAAACACCAAAGTCTAGGCAGACCGTAGAAAATGAGAATTCTTTTAAAAAGAGAAACAATAGGGAAAAAAACCAGCGAGAAACAAAGTAGGAAAGAAAATTGAACCATTTCTACATACTCTTCGTACATTAATTGTAACCCATAGCAGTGAAAGCTTTCCAAACACTGGCAACTAAAGCTGAGAGACTGTCGGTCTTCCTTACGTTCTCCTGAAATTCTGCGAGGTGCTCAAGCCGAGGAGCACAGTCTGTCGGTTCACAGCCCCGTGCTGCATTTAGGTGCAGGGACACATAAATGGCCGCTCAGGATGCCTGGTGTCGATCAGTATCAGTAATATAAACTGCAACTTGTCACTACAAATTTTCAGAATCTCCAGGCCAAGTCCACCTTTATACACATCTACAGGTTTCTGCAGCCTTTCCACCCTCTCCATCAGCTGTGTTAGCCGTGGGAGCAGCTTCCTTCTTAGAATATTCTTCCTCTAGGTCCTGGATGTGTGCAGCCAGTGCTTCAGTTCCTGCTCTTTGTCTTTTACTTCAGCAATCAGCTTAAACAATATGTGATTTTGATATTCCAGAAACGTCTCAACCATTTCTCCTTTCTTTAATTTCACAGACGGTTTTTCTGCAAATGCCTTAATGGAGTCCTGGGAGGCATCTTAACCCCACCATGGACAGGCAGTGTCACTGACAGTACTTCTAAATTTATTCAAAAATTAACTTGTGCCTTTATCAAATAGTGCCAGTTCATCCTCTTCACCTGCAGGCCTGAGTCCCACCGCCTTCCCCACCAGATCCGCAGGGCCCCGGACATCTGCCAGCCTCCAGACCCTCTCCTGATCCCCGCAGCCATGCCAACCTACCCTATTGCTTTCATTCTTTTTTTATTTTTTATTTCTTGTTCTTTTATACATTCAATCCCATTATTTAGCTTACAAGGTGAATATTCCAATATTTGTATATTTCTCCCTAGTCCAGTTGATAATACTATAAAATTATCTTCAATAGATAATACCGTATTTCTTTGTCCCATTACTGCTTTGCCTCTCTATTTTTCTTCTAAATATCCTTCCTCAGACTCTACTCTTTCACAAACACTATATCTGATATTCCCAACCATTTACTGTGTTTCTATATCCTTTAGTCAATCAGTTTCAGTCATAGAGTGCAGACACTCGGTATATATTAAGTGGGGACATACAATGCCTCTCCTTCATAGCTTGGCTTGCTTCACTCAGCAGTAAATCTATATTCATCCACTTTGTGTCAAAAGCCAGAGCCTTTCTGCTTTTATTCTTAAACTAAAGAAGTCACCTGAAATGTATAAATAGCATTAAGACCCTGGAGATTTTTTATTTCTTTTACTATTTTTCCACTCTGAAAGCTGAGGGGGGAGCTCAGGAGCAAGAGATTCTGTCATCTTTATTCATCCCCCTGCCACCCTACTCTTTGACTCTATCAATTATTTTATATATCTGGTCCTGTAAGGATTCTGAGGTCTTCTGAGAGTGTTTGTGTTGGGTGTGAGGGGAGGGAGGGTTATTCAATATCTCAACACTCTTTTTATCACAAGTTGTATGACCTTGGGCAAGTTACTTACCCTCTGTAGGTTCCCTAATAAGCAAAACAATGCCTTTTCTTTTTTAAAATTTCTAGGTTTTTGCTCGCTATAGAGACAGAGAGAGGGAAAGTGAGAACTCACTCCCTAGGAGGGATGGTCACACCACAGTCTTTTTTCCTCAATTCTTCTCTTGGGAGGAACTCAGTGTTATTTTTACACGCTCGATGTGATTTTCATGCCATCAGGTCGGGACTGGAACTAGTCAACTATGTGGGAGTCCAGCGCCTTAACCACATGCCACCTCCTGGCCTCCCCAAAGGCCTTCTAAATGGGGTGTGAGGATTCAGTGAGTAAGTTAAGTACATAGTAAGTACTCAGTAAATATCTTATTGTGTTGGGTATTATCATTATTGTGGTGGAATGGAAGTTGCTTAAGTCTTCAGAGACAAGGGAAACATCCTAATTTTTT